ATGTAGAACAGGGCAAACCAAAACACAGCCATTCTGTGAAATTTGCACTTCTATGAATTTTGCAATGCAGTTCCCCAACCTAGTAATGTGTAAAAAAAGGAGTAAAGTGCCTGGAATGCACACATTTGTTAAAATAGCATACAAAAATGCAACATATTAAAGGAAATTGCTTGGCAAAAATGTCTCTATTGGCCAAAATAGCATAGAAAAATGTGGATGTCATGAAAGATTTGCACTGAATTTCTGATGAATTTTCAGAAGGACTTTTTTAAAAAAAAAAGAAATTGAAAACTGATGTTGAAATATGAAGAACTGAAGAATGGAGAAGCAAGGAACTGAGAGAAACGGAAATGGTCAGATCTGCCCACCCCTACTCATGAGTAAGCATGCTTAGGACTGGAGCCAAAGTACATAGCTGTTAAAGCACAAGCCTGAATTTCTGTTGAATGTAAAGCTGTTATTGTTAGTGTCTTCTGACAGGAACAGAGATTATAAAGACTACTTGTTCACATAATGCACACAGCTGGCAGGGTGGGGGGCAGGGGGTTCTCACAATAAAAAAAACCGCATCGGATCACGGCTGGGATCCTTGTCAGTAAGATACTCAGAGATGGTTAATTGGATATTAATGTGTCAGATTTTCAACAAAATAACAAGAAATTTGCCAAAAAATGAAACTTGGAGGAAACATGCCTCCAAGTTTTACAACAAAGCTTTGTTTAGAATAGGAGTTAAAGCAGCTGAAGATTTATGAGATGTTGACATAACTGATGGCAAAAGGAGTTGGCTTGATGCTCCGGGTGTGAAGGTCCAGATGAGAACATCTGCATTAAGAAGCTAATTTTCTTAAACACACTGATCAAAATATTAATGCTCCATGTAAACACGAGTGCTTTATCTGACAGTGATTTACATTTGGAACGACCTAATCCGGCTATGCAGTGCATCTTTATTCATTACCAGCAGCCTTTACTTAACACTTCATGCCCGCTTGCACAGGTGGACAATCTACTCAGAGTGACTATTGTGTTTATGTTATTTTTTCATAAGCCGGGTTTGAAATTTGTCAAACTGCATCATTGTTTAACTATGTGCCAGTCAAAGGGAAATTGCCAGATGGAGCAGCTTTCCCCTAACCTTGCTCCAGGCAATGAAATTACACATAGGCCACAGTCTTATGTCAAGCCTTTAAAAAAAAAAAAAAAGGAAAAAAGGCCGTGAATAGGTATGACTATGTGCATTCACAAAACCTGGCTTTCTTATGCCACTAATTTTATATGAAGGCTCATGCCAATGGTAAATAAAACTTCATGTCCGTCATGTCACTCATTAACTAGGTTCTCATAATTTATGTATTTAAGGCCTGCTTGTTCACCAGGCAATCAAACAGTAAACCATGTTTTATAGGTGTTAGTGTTTATAGAAACTGTAAATAAATGTTAAACAAAAAAATAAAAATCCAGGTTCAGAAAAATGATCAAGCTTAAGTCATTTATCATTGTTCCAAATGGAAAAATCTGAAAGCGGCTGGTGCCAAAGCAAATGTTTCTCTGGCTTTTTTCTTCTCAGCTTAAAAAAACCAACTAGATTGTAGAATTTTGTTAGTGTGATTTGATGAAATGGAAAACTTTGTAGATCACATGCTTTAAATGAGCCCGTTGCTTGACGTATAGTGTGCACCAACTGTTATAATGACCCATATTTTATTTAAATTTAAGAGCAGTGGTGAGCTAAAAAGGTGAGGAAAATGAGTTAGTCAGAGAAATGAGCAAAGGTATACTTTGCAAATAAAGACAGGTGTCCCTTCATAGAACTGGTGCATGCTACTCCATGTCTTCCCTGCTTTTTCAGCCAGAGAAGCATTTATCTTACTAAGTACTGCTATAAAATTATATCTGGAGACAGAAAGCACTTCAGAGGATGAGATCAAACTATATAATTGACAAACTAAAAAAGTAGGTGACACATTTATCATCTTAAGCCAAATTTCTGAGAAGCCCCAATTTTCAGAGAAGACAAACTGAATAATTGAAGCATATCATTACCTAAATGACTTGAGATTCAGCAACACTCTTGTAAGTGGCTGGAGTTTTGTTTTTTATCTGTGAAGAACAGTACCTATGGTAAAAGTTCTTCAATAATACCTAGTCTCATGTGGAATTGCATCCTTCCAATTGATTTAAACATTTTTAAATGTTTCATAACCAGAGTGTTTTTAATTTATTGATTGACAGAGCCTTCTGATGGCAGATCATTCTGATCAGTTTCTAGAAGGATATTGGCAGAAGATACCCTTGGCTCCTTACAAAGCTGCTCCAGAGGATTTGGGAACGCTCTGAAACATGCAGGAAGAGGCACAGGGGCTGTAAGGGGGTTGGTCAAGTGCCAAAAACCAACTCTTCCCTTCATGCAGAGGGAGCAGAAGGAGCACTGTGGACCTAGCCCCATAAATTGTACAGTAATTATTTCCGATACACCATACAGACAATGTATTATTATGGGTGGTGTAAAGATGCTGCAAATGAATGAATAAATATTGTTTGAAATAGAAAAATTTGAGAGCCACTGGTGTCAGCACTAACTGGTAAATATCAACATTTACCAGTAAGAACTGAGAAATGTCTAGAACTGTTAAGAAATTAATTGCTTGCCATACTTATCTTGCACCTTTCATTGTTTTATGAATACCATTACAGAGCACATACATTTCTTATGATTACTGAGGCTGCACCTAGCTTCCCAAGATTTCCCAAACTTGGGTCTCCAGCTGTTTTTGGACTACAACTCCCACCATTCCTGGTTAGCAGGACCAGTGGTCAGGGATGATGGGATTTGTAGTCCAAAAACAGCTGGAGACCCAAGTTTGGGAAACCCTGGGGATCTGTCCGTTAGGCTCCAAATGATAATGAGTGACCATCTGCTGATGTAATGTTAAGATGTAGGGTCACATTCAATGTAGCATGAGGACAATTTTTCCTTGTGTGATGAAATGTTCTCCTCTCCTCCCCGCATTATCTAAACCTCTTCTGGGTTTTTCCCCAACCCCCTACAGTAGATTTGGGAATTGTGCAGAAATTATAGAGTAAAAACAGAGTTAATAGCTAAGTACAGCTTTGATTTGCCCCCCTGCCTGCCAAATATACACAGATATAACAAGGAAATTAGCACACATACTGTACAGCTACTTTTGTCACCACCACACAAAAAACTTTTAAATACTTCAATAAACATTTTGTTTCATTATACATTTATTTTATTGCATGTTAATTATAAACAACTTTTTAAGTACTTTAATAAAACGTGCATTTGCCTTATCTTCATGTGCGATTGCCTAAAATATATATCTTGGTTTTTAAAGTGGCACACAGAAAAAGCGAGGTGCATAATTAATGACGTGCTATTTGTGCTTTCAAATCTAGCTGTTTCTGGGCTTTTTACCCAGCCTTTTAAAACTGATGCGAGAAACCCCTTTTTATGGCATGCTGATGTTTACCCAAAAGTCACATCATTTTTCAAGATGACAGTACCAAGTAAAATAATTTTTATTGCCGTTTCCCAAAAGTCATTTGAAAGCTACAGGCATTTGAAAAATCAAATGTTTTTAAGCTGCTACCCTGGGATGTCCTTAAGCATGTTGTACACACAGAAAAGCATTACATCTACAAGAAGTCATAAAGTGGTACTAAATCCAGTATGTCTGCAGTGCTAACAAGCAACAAATAATGCTTCTTCATCTGTCAGTGTCAGTAATTTGTGGTTATGGCTGATCCTAGCTTGAAGTGTAACTGGGCTGCAGATCTCAAGTGCCATAAAAATATTGTCTGGGAAAGTTCTAAATTGGTTGGCTTTCTTTGCGCATGTGCAACCTCACACTGCCACCAGCTCGGATGGCTTTAGAAGAAGACCCATCAGATTCACGGAGGATAAGGCTGTCAGTGGCTGGTAGATAGCATGTGGGATTCCTTGATGTATGTCCTACTTCCACCGTCAATGACAGTCTGTCCCTGAATGCCTGTTGTTGGGAATCGCAGGTGGGCAAAGCGCTGTTGAGCTCAGGTCCTCCTCGTGGGCTTCCCATACACGTCTGGTTGGCTGCTGGACTCATCCAGCAGGGTTCTTCTTTAGTTCTCATGCTTTTCATGCAGGGAGAGGAGAAGGAGGTGGCAGTGGCAGGTCTCCTGGCAGTGTGGGTTTTGGTAGCAGCATGGCCTACCAAGGATGTCTCTTGTTTTGGCTCCTTGGACCAGACCATCAAAGAGAGGCTACCCTCAAAGGTTGGGTGGGTCTTGGGAAATAACCACGGCAGTAAACAAATCAGTGAGCCCTGTCTTGATCAAAATGTTAGCAAGGCATCCTCACGTGGTTCATCCCCATCACATGGTGGTTTGGGTTTGATAATTAGAAACCTAGGAAGCTGCCTTATATCAAATCAGGCCGTTGGTCCATCTACCTCAGTATGGGTAGCACTTTCTGGCAGTGGCTCTCCAAGGATTCAGATGACAGCTTTCCCCAGCCCTACCTGGAGACACCAAGGCTTAAACCCAGGACTTTCTGCATACAAAAGACCACTAGGAATGCAGAGCAGGAATGAGGAAACTCAGTACAGTGGTACCTCGGTTTAGAACTTAATCCATTCTGGAAGTCTCTTCTTAAACCAAAACCATTCTTAAACTGAGGTGTGCTTTCCCTAATGAGGTCTCCCACCGCCGGTGCCCTTCCACTGTTTGGATTCCATTCTTAGACCGAGGTAAAGCTCTCAAACCAAGACACTATTTCTGGTTTTGCAGAGTTTGTAAACCAAATTGTTCTTAAACCAGACTGTTCTTAAACCGAGGTGCCACTGTATATGATGGATGCAAATACCATTTCAGGAGTTCTGGCAAGATCTTGCCCCATAGTGTTATTGACCTTCTTGTGGCTGCCACATTGGATGCTCCAGTTCTATGTCCTCCTTTGTTCTGATCTGATAAGCAAATTTGAAAACGTTTGAGTGGGCAATTGAATACCATTGCTCAGTGGTCGAGCATCTGCTTTGCATGCAGAAGGTCCCAGGTTCAATCCCCTACATCTTCAGGTAGGCCTGGGAGAGAACCCTGTCGGAAATCCTGAAGAGCTGCTGTCAGTGTAGATACAGAGGGAGACCGTGGGTCCATCTACATAGCTCATAAGGCAGCTTCTTCTGTTCCTACTATGAATTAGTGCTTTTCTTATTACGCTGCCCCATCCATAGCACAGAGAGTCCAACTCCTGTATAGCCCTTATACACTGGAATGAAGAACAGGAATAACGTGGCCTATGTGTCCTTTGGCTTGTTATTCCAGTATCACAATCTAGGCCTCAGTGCCTCCTAGGTTTCCCTCATTGTTAGCATTTGGGATGACCACTGCTCTCTGAAATGTGTTGTTGTTTTTGTTGTTGTCGTCGTCATCATCTTTTCTAGGCAAATGATCGTAAGGTGAAAAAACAAACAAAGAAAGAAAATGCAAAGGATAAAATACCAAAATTTAAAAGCTGAAATGCAACTTAGCAATGCTGCTTTTTTAAGCAGGGGAAAAACATATTAAGGAACGATTTATCATGCTTGTTGTTTAAGCAGTTCTTTCCTATTGTGGTGGCAATCTTGCAGTAATAATAATTCATAATCCAATTTGAAGTACCTGGCAGTTTCTCTGAAATGTTTATATAGCCTCTACAGCCAAAGCAAACACGACCAGGAACATGAACATTTGATGATGTGGAGGTGACCTGTGTTGATTTGCTTACATATGATGTGCTCAAGATCTTCCTAAGATCTTCCTAGCATAAGTTTCCCCTTATGAAGGCAAGCAGCTCTCTGCCATAATTCTGATAATGCCTTCCACTTACAGCCTATGTAAGAGGTTAGCACTGCCCTCTTTGCACCCCAGAGCCTATGTTGCTCCTTCTCTTCCCTTAGCCTAGGGAAATTTCTTTTACAGACCTGTGTTAAGAATCCTGCCAGCTAATACACCTCTGTGTGCTTGATTTCAGTATTTAAAGTTCAATAGGCAGCACCTTCAGCCTTCCCCTCAATGTTTGTGTGAACCCTTTTTACCCTTTAGCATTCGGAAACTTTATTTCTTGCTTAATTTCAGGCCAGAAACATCATCTTTTTCATTTGAGTGGAAGATTATGACCACCAAAGAAGATTTAGCATATATAATTTATAGCCAAAGCATGCCTTTTCCAGTTCTGTGGGTTGCAGAATCTTAAAAATCCTATGATGAAAAAAGAGGATAATTGTCATGAATAGAGTAAGCAGGGCTTTAATCTTAAGCATGCTTGCTGAGTGCAGACTTACTTCTGACTAAACATGCTTAGGATCACGAATACTACACGGCAGTATCCGGCTAAATATTTCAGCGGAACAGTGGAAATCCCCTTTCCCTGACTGTTGGTGCAGATTAGGCCAAATCTTGCTTTAAGCATTGTTTGTGTGGATGAGAATGCCTTCTTTCTCTTTGTTGCCCCCCACCCCCACCCTCCCATCTACAAGGACTCTTTTCGTTTGGGTATTTCCCATTGGCTGATCACCGGATCATATGGATTATTATTTTTAGTGTTTTATAGTATTGTACAGTATTTGAATCTATCTATCTATCTATCTATCTATATCTATCTATCTATCTATCTATCATCTATCTATGTATCTATTATCTATCTATCATCTATCATCTATCTATCTATCTATCTATCTATCTATCTATCTATCATCTATCATCTATCTATCTATCTATCTATCATCTATCTATCTATCTATCTATCTATCATCTATCTATCTATCTATCTATCTATCTATCTATCTATCTATCTATCATCTATCTATCTATCTATCTATCTATCTATCTATCGGGATGCGGGTGGCACTGTGGGTTAAACCACAGAGCTTAGGTCGGTGGTTCAAAGCTCCCGTTGCTTGGTCCCTGCTCCTGCCAACCTAGCAGTTTGAAAGCACGTCAAAGTGCAAGTAGATAAATAGGTACCGCTTCGGCGGGAAGGTAAACGGCATTTCCGTGCACTGCTCTGGTTCGCCAGAAGCAGTTTAATCATGCTGGCCACATGCTGTACGCCGGCTCCCTCGGCCAATAAAGCGAGATGAGCGCCGCAACCCCAGAGTCGTCCGCGACTGGACCTAATGGTCAGGGGTCCCTTTACCCTTATCTATATCTATCATCTATCTATCTATCTATCTATCTATCTATCTATCTATCTATCATCTATCTCTATCTATCATCTATCTATCTATCTATCTATCTATCATCTATCTATCTATCTATCTATCTATCTATCTATCTATCATCTATCTATCTATCTATCTATCTATCTATCATCTATCTATCTATCTATCTATCATCTATCTATCTATCTATCATCTATCTATCTATCTATCTATCTATCATCTATCATCTATCTGCTGGTTATTTCTATTATTTGTATATGTAGATTGGAGTTTGTATGTTTCAGAGCCCTTTTGTTGTTAGATCCTTGGATTGTCGGCCCAGGCACAGTGAAACTGTGAGTGGCGGGGGCCAAGGATAGGACGATGCAAAAATAATGGGACAATCATTTTGGGATTAAACAGAAAACTTTATTGATTACAGATGTCAGTAGGTTTTGGTGTAGGCATTGGATGTGTATCCTGATTCATCCTGCTCATCTGTTGGTTGGTTACTTTGGCAGGGTTATTCGAAGGTTAAAGATTGCTTTATGATATACATCCCCTCCAAGATTACCATTTGGGATGGTGGTGCTATGGCCCATCAGCCCCTGTCTTGGCATCTGGACAGAGACACCTGTCCTTGGACCCCTTTAATGGGTACCCTGATTCCTTGGAGCAACATCACCTGCTATCCATCTTGACTAAGGATTCAACCCAAAGCCTTATCCACCATCAAGCTGTGACAATTGCTATGAGGTAGACAAAACCCCTAGACAGGCCCAATTTTTCCTGAAGGCAAATTTCTCTCTGGTCTCAAATACCATAGCAAGGTCTTATGCATGACGTTCCGGTTTACCTTCTGTCAGAGCCATAGCATGATGCAGAGGGATGTGTGTGTGTGGATTCCACACTGACTGAGGCAGAGCCAGATATGTATACACATCTATGGTAGCCTCTAGGAGCTTGTTTTGGCTTTTCTAGGAAAGAAACTGTAACGTTAGCAAATCTGCAAACCTAGTTTGACCAGAGGCTGTAGCCCTCTGCCAATGTCTCCTGACACCAGCTCTGATGCCATATGCCGTGCCAACCTTTCCCCTTATATGCTGTTCAACGTATATGTGAATGTATATGAATATGCAGAATCAAACTGAGAGAGAAACATAATTAAGTGCATTGAGCTGTATGCATGAACACAACACCCACCCACCTTCTTTGTTCAGCTAAGTGAGGCTATGATTCATGCTATGAACATCTTCCATATAAATTACTGCGGGTTTGTACTGGGGAGATCAGCTGTCCACAGACTAATGTTGTTTTGAACCTTGAATGAACTTTCTTCACAGCCTCCATAAGGGAAATATTTAGTGTTACATCTCAGTTTCCATTCCTTCTTTCTTTGCAACAGGTTTATATACAACGGAGTCATATCCTATCAGGCTAAAACCACATTAATTTACATTTTTTGTGGTTGGTATAATTTCTTCTTTCACGCACACTAATTAGGAACGTCAACTGAATTAACTAAATTAACTAACATCAACTTGGATTTTTTTTTAATGAACTGCTGTGTAACTATAAAGAGTTTTCTGTCCTAAAATATGAGAAAGGAAAATATACTATCCTTTTACCTCAGTTATCAACACAGTTTTCTTTCTGCTGGAAAAACTATAAGCAAGCTTAGAATCGTGGTTACCATTTTAAGTTGGAGAGAAAAACAAGCCTGTATGTGTATGGTGCTTTGCACTGTAAATAAAGGTTCAAACCAGTCCTTTTATATTCTGTTGGAAGCCACCCAGAGTGGCTGAGGCAACCCAGTCAGATGGGCTGGCTATAAATATTAAATTATTATCATATTCCACAGTCTGGTGCTCTTCAGAAGACTCCAGCTCCCATCTTCTCCAGCCAGCATGCCCAATGGTCGGCAAAGAAGAGAGTTATTGAGCACAACATCTGGAGAGCACCTGGCTAGGTAAGTCTGGCTTACAGAGTGCAAATGTACAGATCCATGCTTACAAAAAATAACATTTAGGGAAGCAGCAGGGGGAGGGAAGGAATGGGTTAACTGGGAAAGAATGTGTGCTGACTCCAGCACCAGGCACATGCCTTGGGTACAGTTCTTCATGGTATAATATTTCTGCCGACTCTACTTCCCACCTGAGGAGTATCATTAGAGAACGGCTGTTCTAATGGATAGAAGGCACACAGGGTAACTGGGGACAGGGGGAGATTATGTGTGTTTGGTGTTTGCTGTATGAAGTTTCAAACTCTGCTCCACATTGAACAAATCTGAATACAATGAGCAGAGATGAAGTTTGCCATTATTAAAATGCTCGGCCATAAAGGCAGGATTCAGCTAACCTGTTCCTCTAACAGTAGCCAGTGCAAGCAAATGGCTCCGAGGGTGCTGGGTGAACCCCCAGAATAGGGGAGGTCCTTCTGTTGGACAAGTGGAAATGCTTGCACTGACGGAACAATCTCTTTAGCGCTACATTGAATTCCACCCTAAATATCTTTTAGATGTACTGCAGTAGCTTTTTGTTGGATTTAGTGGGTCATATTCAAAATGGTGGGAATATGAACCCCCACCATGGTTTTTCTATTTCTCTTGCATGTTTATGTACATTTTGAAGTATAGTTACATGCCCAAAGCCTTTTGACTGGGCTGCCTCAAAAACTACGAACAAGCTAGCTACGATTCCAGTTGCACGTCGAGGTCCCCAAGACACCCCCCCCAAATAAAACACAATGACACTTGATTTTTGTTTAAGGTTTTTGGCATAATTTTGGCCACAACTTTATTCAAATTACAGCAATGTGAGTGGTTGCTTAAGCATTGGTAGCGACTAACTGACCCTGCACGGGGACAGTCTGACATTCGCACCCCCCATGAAGTCAG